TGTGCGTGTGTGTGTGTGTTTGTTTGTTCGCCGCCTATGCGGAACGCCGTAGCTTCGCACCGTCTCAGCCCAAACCGCGCGCCAAGGCAAACGATGCAGGCGGCGGTGGGTGAGGGGGAAGTACGTGGGTGGGGCGCGGTCCACTGCGCAGCCACCCAACACCGAAGTACACACCCAGCACGCTGCTCTTGAAAGCACTCAACCGCCAGGACCGGCCCCTTTCCCGCACTGGTGGACCCAGCCTGCGCGCAAACACACGCGACGCTGGACAACCACGGTGCTGCAAGCCGAACGCGGCATGCAGCTCGTGCTGTTGCGCGCTTTCTCGGCGAGGGTGGGTGTCAGTCGGTTCCGGGTGGCGTGATGAGGCACACCTGCACCGCGCGGGGCCGCACAACGCTCACGATAGCATGTGGGACCGCGGGTGGGTGAGAGAGCGTGCTTGAGCCACACACGTGTGGTGTGCGTGCAGCAGTGAGACGGGCAACGACGTCGACAGCCTCGCGGCAATTCCCTTGGGGGGGGCCACCCCCGCAAGCTGCAGCGCGGTCACGCCAGGAAGCGCCATTCCAGAGGGGTACGCCGCGGCGCAACAAGGATATGTCATCCCAGCAGGTTTCACCGCAGATCCTCCTGAAAGCGCCAACCCACCAGGTTGCACAAGAGAACCACCTGGAGACCAAAAAAGGCGCACTGTAGCGCTTCCCGGGGGGCGCTACCACAGCAGGCTACACCGCAGCGTCTCGATGAGGCGCCAACCCAGCAGGCAACGCAGCAGCACCCCCGGAGGTGCCGATCCAAGCGACCACCCTGCAGTGCCTCCTGGAGGCGCAATCTGGACAGGCTGCACCGAAGCTCCTCGCGGATGTATCATCACGGCACGCGACATCGTAGCACCTCCTAGAAGTGTGGGATAAATGGGTACAGTGCGAGTCGATAGGGCGTGGATCCAGAGGCTTCCACACATATGCAGCTCGGCTGGGGCGGCAGAGCCGCACCGCTGGAGGCGCGCGCAGTCAGCCTGCAGCCTCCGCAAGAGGCTTTCAGAGTCACGGAGCCACGCCGCCGCTAGGGATGGGCTCCCGCGGGCACATGCCGCGAGCGTCTGGCAAAGCCGGCGTTGCAGGTCGTGCAACTCGACGGGAAGGGCAGCGGGAGGGGCACTGGGCTCCATGGCGGCGGTCTATGTTCCAGAAGGTTGGGGCCAATGACTCCAGAGACGGCAAGCACAGCACAGCTCAGCACAGCACAGCACAGCACACCACAGCACAGAACAGCACATCACACCACATCACAGCACATCACAGCACATCACATCAATTGACGTGTGTGTGTGTGGTGTGTGTGTGGGTGTGGGTCAAGCTAGCCAGCTCGAGCGAGTCAAGCATGGCATGCCCATTCCCACCCGCCCTCCCACAACATAAGAAACAGTGATGGCACAACTGGGGGCTGCGCGGGCATTTCAGCGCGGGGGGGGAGGGGGGTGTGCCGCGCCCAATTCTTGCCATGCACTTTTGCGGGCTGAACGACAAGAACAGCGAAGTGGGCAGGGAAACTCAGCATGGCATTGTTTCTGACAAGTAAGGTGGCCCCTCCCGCCTTGGGGTTGCCCCAGAAGTCCGCGCGCGATGTGCGCCGCGCCCCATTCCTGCCACGCATTTCGCATCGTCGACGACAAGACAGGCCATGATGAAAGGAAAAACAGCAACTCTGTATTGATTTTTACAATCAGGATGGGAGGGCCCGCGGCCCGCATGGACGTCCGCGCGCGATGTGCGCCGCGTCCCTGCCACATATTTCGCACCGTTGGCGACAAGGCAGGCCATGCTGAGAGGAAACAGCGGAGACTTCGTATGGTTTTTTACAGTCAGGATGGGCGGCCCGGATTGACGGCCGCGCGCGATGTGCGCCGCGTCCCATATGTGCGCCGCGTCCCATTGCTGCCACATATTTCGCACCGTCGGCGACAAGGCAGGCCATGCTGAGAGGAAACAACGGAGACTTTGTACTGATTTTTTAAAGTCAGGATGGGCGGGCCCAGATTGACTGCCGCGCGCGATGCGCGCCGCGTCCCATTCCTGCCACGCTTTTCGCAACGTCGACGACAAGAAAGACGATGTTGAGAAGAAAAACGGCCACTTTGTATTGATTTTTTTATAATCCGGATGGGAGGTCCCGGATTGGGTTGCTATCGGCCGGAATACGAGGTAGGTGGGGGTATATAATAATAAGGAACAAGGATGTGGGTGTGCGTGTGGGTGTGGGTGTGGGTGTGGGTGTGGGTGTGGGTGTGGGTGTGGGTGTGCGTGTGCGTGTGCGTGTGCGTGTGCGTGTGCGTGTGCGCGTGCGCGTGCGCGTGCGCGTGCGCGTGCGCGTGCGCGTGCGCGTGCGCGTGCGCGTGCGCGTGCGCGTGCGCGTGCGCGTGCGCGTGCGCGTGCGCGTGCGCGTGCGCGTGCGCGTGCGCGTGCGCGTGCGCGTGCGTGCGTGCGCGTGCGCGTGCGCGTGCGCGTGCGCGTGCGCGTGCGCGCGCGTGCGTGTGTGCGGTGCGTGCGTGCGTGTGTGTTGTGTGCGTGTGTGCGTGTGTGCGTGTGTGCGTGTGTGCGTGCGTGCGTGTGCGTGCGTGTGTGCGTGTGTGCGTGTGTGCGTGTGTGCGTGTGTGTGTGTGCGTGTGTGCGGGTGTGCGGGTGTGCGGGTGTGGGTGTGGGTGTGGGTGTGGGTGTGGGTGTGGGTGTGGGTGTGGGTGTGGGTTGGTGTGTGGGTGTGTGGGTGTATGTGTGTGTGTGTGTGTGTGTGTGTGTGTGTGTGTGTGTGTGTGTGTGTGCGTGTCAGGCCTCTTGCCACTCTATTTCCTACGTTCATGTGCTTGAACGATCAGGCCTCTCTGTGCTCCCAAACTCTTGGATGTGCTCCTCTGGCCGGACAGCAAGCCGGAAGCGAAGTCGCATGTGGCTGCCGCGCGGATCACCCGAGTCCTCCCCACCCAAGCCCCCTCCCCCTCCCAGCCCCCGCTTCCAGCCCCCCCTCGCGGTGTGGCGGAACTTCGCGACAGCGCATCCTGATAGTATGTAGTAGCTTGAAATAGGGTAGTTATGTGGTTTTCGAGCTTGCGAGCCACAGCAGGGCGGAACCGCGGCACGGAGGCGAGGAAGGCCGGCGAGGGCGCGCAGGAGGGAGTCGAATGGCGCAGTAGGAGGAGGAGGAGGAGGAGGAGGAGGAGGAGGAGGAGGAGGAGGTGAGGAGGAGGAGGAGATGAAGGAGATGGAGGAGGAGGAGGAGGAGGCGGTAGGAGGACGACGACGACGATGTTGAAACTACCCGAGGCGCACCCACCCCCGTCTCCACGCGAGGCAAAAAGTTGTATGAACGCCGCACACCAAAGAACGCACAGCCAGATACGAACGACTCAGCGCTGCCCTCATCTCCGCCGTGCCTCCCAGGAGCCCACGACAGTGGAAACAGTTGCGCAATTCGCAGCCTTCCAGGGAGCCGCGAAGCCTCGGCTGGACCCGGGCGCCCCCGACTCCGCGGGGCCTCCGACGAGCCCATGAATGTGGCGACAGCAGCGCAGTTCGCAGCGGCCCAGGGAGCAGCGAGGTCTCAAGTGTGTGCGCGTGGCCCGACGACCCCGATAGACCTCCCAGGAGCCCACGAAAGTGGTGACGGTTGCGCAGTTCGCAGCCTCCTAGAGGTCAGCGGGGTGCCAAATGGGTCCAAGTAGCCCTCGACTCCGCTGGACCTCCCAGGAGCCCGCGAAAGCGGCGACGGCTGCGCAGTTCGCAGCCACCCATGGGGCAGCGAAGTCTCGTCTAGGTGCGCGTGGCCCCCGACTCAGCTGAGCCTCCCAGGAGCCCACGGACGTGCGACCGTTACTCAGTTCGCAACGCCCCAAGGAGACGCGAGATATCGGCTGGGCTCGCGTACTTCCCTACTCCGCCGTGCCCTCCAAGAGCCCACGGACCTGGCGGCAACTGAGCAGTTCGCAGCTCTCCAGGGAGACGCGAGGTCCCAACCGGGCCCGCGTACTCCCCTACTCTGCCGTGCCTCCCACGAGCCCGCGAAGGTGGCGACAGCTGCGCAGTTCGCAGCCGCCCCACGGAGCTGCGAGGTCCAGTCTGGGTCCATTTACTCTCCTACTCCACCGTGCCTGCCAGGAGCCCACAAAAATGACGACACTTGCCCATTCGCAACCTCCCAAGGAACTACGAGATCTCGGCCAGGAATGGTTATTCCCCTACTCCGCTGTGCCTGCCAGGAGCTCGCGAGAAATTGGCGACAACTGCGCAGGTCGCAGCCCCCCCAGGGAGCTGCGAGGTCTGGAGTGGGTCCGGTTGCTCCCCTACTCCGCCGTGCCTGCCGTTTACTTCGGCGGTGGACAAACCTGCCTTTAGTAAACCTCCCCTAAGTGAAAACGGCCTGGGACCGAAACCGACGGACCTGGACCCGCAAAAACGACGGCCGCGAAACCCTCTCGCACACCGAAAACGGCCAGTTCCTTAATCGACGTGTCAGGGTAGGAGGTCTGTCCACCCCCGACTACTCCCCTACTCCGCCGTGCCTCCGAGGAGCCCACGCCAGTGGCGACACTTGCGCGTCTCGCGGCCCCCCCAGAGAGCTGCGAGATCTGGGCTGGGCCCGGTTGCTCCCCTGCTCCGCCGTGCCTCCCAGGGAACCCGCGAGAAAGTGGCGACACCTGCGCGTCTCGCAGCTCCCACAGGGAGCTGCGAGGTCTAGCCGTGGTCCGACTACTCCCCCACTCCGCCGTGCCTCCCAGTAGCCCACGAAAGTGGCGACGGTTGCGTAGGTGGCAGCCCCCCATAGATCAGCGCACGAGGAGGCTGGACGAGGGGGGAGAAGGAGAAAAGGGTGTGCGACCGCAGTGCTCCCTTCGAAACGAGAGCCCCGCGCAGGAGGGTTGGGGAAAACGGAGGGGCCCACGCTTCGGGGGGGGGGGAAGTCTCCCATGGGCTCGCTGTTATTTCGCAGAGCAGCCCAACCAACATTCACGCCATCGCTGCCGCAAAGGCGGCCGCGGCAGCGAAGAGGCCGAGTCCAGCGCGGAGAGAAGCGCTGAAGACGACCTCGAGGTTGGCCGAGGACCCGACGCCCCCGATGGACGAGGACACCAACAACTGCTCGTGCTCCCAAGGGGTGCCGTCCGGCTCGCTGCCGACGTGAATCACCACGTGCGAGGCGTAGGGCTGGGCCTCCAGCGGGACGGTCTTGATGGTCTTGCCCTTGTCGTCCATCAGGATGAAATTGTAGGTCCCCGCCTTCAGCTTTAGCAGCTGGCCCGACTTGAGCTCGGCGCTCTGCTTCGACCTCTTGCCCGCCTGCTCGACCTTCATGTCCCCCCTCTTGCCGGCGTACGCGTCGAGTACGGCCACCTGCGCCCGCTCATCGCCCTGCGAGAACATGTGGGAAGCGATGGCCGCGGTCATCGTGTCGTTGTTGGCGTGGTACGGGATCATCAGCAGGTTCGAGCTGACGTACGGCAGGCCGCTCGCGCGGAAGGTGCCGACGCTCAGGCCGCCCAGCTTAAAGTCGACCCGTTCGCCCTCCTCCAGCTGCAGGGAGATCTTCTTGCACGCTCTGTACGGGATCGGCTCCTCCGTCAGCTTCACCCTGGTGTTAACCGTATAGGCGCTCAGAGGCTTGCGGTCCGCGTACGCGTTGCAGATAGTCAAGTTGTGCGTGGTGGCGACGTCATCCTGCACCCGCGTGCCCGCCAGTGCCGCCAAGGCGTTCTCCTGCGTGCCCCCCACCTGCACGCGCTCGGACTCGACCTCGACCGTGACTGCTCCCGCCTGGGTGGCGGCCAGGGCACCGATCACCAGGCTGCTCAGGATAGCCATGGACGCCTGCTTGGAGCCCGAGTCAGCGAAGCTCCGGTAGGGTAGTGTGAGCCGTTGAAGCGCAGAGGCCTGAGCTGGTATCTTGAGCCCGAATGGCTATGTACAAAAAGGAGGAGTATATTGAGGTTGAGGAGACTGAGGTGGAGGAGGAACAGGGAGAGAAGAGGAAAGGAAACGCACGCGTCTGTCTGCCGCTCGCGCAGCAGAGCTGGTGAAACTCTCGCGGTTGCTTGCTCGGGGTGCCGTTCAATCACTGAGGCGCCGAAAAATGCGCTCACGACTCTGACTTGAAAGTCGGTCAATATTGGCAAAGATGGCCTCCGAAGCGGTCCAAGACGGCACACGTTGCTCAGGATGGGCGCCAAGACTGCCCAGGATCCAGGACTGCGCAGGAGCTTTCCAAGACGCTCCCTGAGAGCTATCGCAAGAGGCCCCCCAGATGCACACGTAAACACAAAAGTCGCTTGACTATTTCTCATACCCGCATTTTCGGAACTCAGGGAACCCAAGGCCAACGAAACAACCAAACCACCAACATCGCCCTTAGAAGACCCAACAGAACCCCATGACGGACCCAAGACGGCTGAAGCAGGTCCCAGCAAGGTCCGAGGAGGGCGCCAAGATGAGGGTCCCAGAACGCCCCAAGACGGGCCCAGCAGGGCCCCTGGAGACCGCCTACTAACACTCACTGGGGCATCAGGAATGCCCTAAAAGAGCCCCACGACCGCCCCTCTCGACCGCACCATCAGCCTTCCCAGCAGCGCTTCGGGGAATCAAAGCTCGAGCGCGGCCAATCGTGGTCCACACGAGCTGCCAGCTGCAAATCTAATGGGCGAGGCTCGATGTACACACCACCCATGTCGCCTGGTCCGCTCAGGAGCTCGGTGCACAGACGGCCCAGCTGCCCCGCCTGAGGGGCGCTGCAGCGTCTGTGCACCGAGTTCGTTCGCCGAGCTCCTCGGCTGCCAGACCAAACGGGGCGAGGTCTCAGTGAAATGGAGAGCCCCCCGCTGGGAACTCGGTTTCGGCGTCGTGTCGGGCGTGCGGGCAGGGCGACGCGGCGTGGGCGTGCGCGAGGAATGATGCCGCCATGTCGGGGGCCAACACTGGGCTCAATGTTTCTCCTCCCCCCGGTTGTGGTCGGAGGTTGGCCGGCGGTGTCCCGTGGGCGTCCTGCGGGTGTCCCGTGGGTGTCCCGTGGCGCGGTGTCCAGTGGTGTCCCATGATGTCCGGTGCTGTGCTACTCGCTATGCTACTCGCTGTGGCACTCGCTATGCAATGCTACGCAATGCTGTGCAATTCTGCGCAATGCTTCGCAATGCTGCGTAATGCTACGCAATGCTATGCAATGCTATTCAACGATATGCAATGCTATGCTATGCCATGCTATGCTATGCAATGCTATGCAACGCTATGCAAGGGTATGCAAAACGATGCAATGCTATGTCGCCAACTCGTGAGCGCACCACCAGCATCGTCGCCATCACAATCTTCGCAATCGTTGTCCAGCGGCCCTCCCCCCTCCGAAACAGCCTCATCACCAGAAGGGCGCTCGCACAGGTAGTCGATGCTGCTTCTGGACACTTTCGGTAACCGCCGCTGCACGGCTCCCGGGGGGGAAGGGGGGGGGGGGCGGGTAACGGTAGCATTAGGTCGGGCGTGTCCCCCTACAGGGGGACTTTCGGCGGAATCTCAACAAAAAACAAAAAATGCTCCCCGAATTCTCCAAAGTAGTAGAGAGAATAGTCCCCGGACTATTTTTGGACTATGTTTGAGTACCCCTCGTGTACGTAGAGGGACAGGTCCGACTTAACGGTAGCGCTTGGGCGGGAGCGGGGGCACGTCGGGGCGGGGGTGCGCTGCGGTCGCCGCGGCATGCGCGCGCGCAGCACCGCGTGGGGGGAGGGGCCCGGGCTCCCCCCGCCCTCACGCACTGCGTCCGCGCAGCGATCGGGAGAACCATTCTCGTCTCGGGAGGCGGGGGCTGGGGGGATGCTGGGCATGAGCAGTAGCATGCTAATGCAGTGAACGATACCTTCGGCCGCCTGCGGGTAGAAGATTATCCTCACTTCTCCCAGCCCCATCCTCCCAAACCAATAACTGTCTTCCTGACCTTCGACCCATGGCGGCGCCACTGAGCCAGGGGCGGAAGTGATCCGCCGCGGCGCGCCTTCGCTCTGCCGCCTCCCTTTCGACCCATCGAGGGGCGGACTGGCGCGTGGAGGCGCTGCCGGTGCCCGCCCAAGCACTGCCGGTGAAGGCCGTGGCCGAAGTCGCCGTGAGCCCACTTGGATCACCGGGGCGGTTGCCAAGTTGGCATGGGAGTTTCCACGCGGATGACGAGGTTGGTTATATCTGGCCTCGCCTGGCTTACAAGGGGAGGAGGAGTATCCGACTTGGACGAACATCTGGGCTCAGTGGGCTGCGCCCACCCAGCGGACATATCAAACCCACCCAAGCCACTCAGGGCCCATGTAAACTAATTCTAAGTTAGCTCGCGCCATATATAACCCACCTTACCACCCACCCCACGTAGCACCTCCCCACGGTGATCCAAGCAACAACCCTCAAACGCCTTCTGGGCCGCAAGAGGGTATCCTGGCTGTCCAAGATGGCGTCGGACTGACGTCGAAGCCGCCCAACACAAGGGAGCGCCAAGACGACGCAATATGGCCCCAAAACAGCACGAGAGGGTCTCAATCTGCATCCAAGACGCAAGAGGAGGATCCCTGGAGGATGAACGTAAAAGGGCCCCGAGAAGCAACAAAAACTTCAAGAAGTTATTCGGTTTCGCAATCGCCTTTCGAAATTCAGATCGCCTCAAGAAAAAAAACCTGGCATTCAAAGAGCCCCATTGGAGACCCAGGACGGCTGGAACCCAGACTGCCCTGGAGGGCCCCCAATCTTCCAACAGGGGCACCTCGAGGGTCTCCACGAAGCCCAACGGTTCACCAAAACGGACCCAAGAGAGATCCAAAACGGCCCATGAGCGCCCCGAGACGGCACAAGAGGGCCCCAAAAACTGTTCACGAGGGCCCAAGTACGCCCGCAAGAACGCTCAACAGGTCGCTAACATTGCCCCTGAAGAGCACCAAGCCCACCTTACACTCCTGACCCCATGCGCTCCCGCAGCCATCCTGACAACACTTCAGGGAATCTTAGCTCAACCACAATTCAGCAAGTTGACGTCGGTTATCGGCAACGAACGCCTGACATTTTCTCTGGTAGTGGCAAGAAGGCGTAGGTTTAGCAGGACCCAGCTCAGCGACGTGCACCCAGGGACGCACCTCGGCCCAACTGAGGGAAGCATCGCCCGATGGCCCGCTGTCCCGATGATACGCGTTGCTTTGGCCACGTGCCTGGCAAACACTTCGCTCAACCTCTCGTTTCTGTGGCCACGCATGGGAGCCTCCGATACCATCTTGCTGACTCTTGTGAATCGACGCTGGTCGACGCTAAACCGACTATACAGAACAGAACAGAACAGAACAGAACAGAACAGAAGAAGCCGCGCCTAGACGGCGCATCGGCACACATTGGCCTGGAAAACGAAGGCCAGAAATGTGCAGAAAACTATGCAGAATGCACGTGCGCCGGGTCACAGCCACTGAAAATAGACCAGTGCTGGGCGGCGGGCACCGCTACGCTCGCACAGCGCACACTGAACATGCAAAAAAGCAGGGGGAGCAGGAGCGCGGAGGGGGGAAGACAGGGAGACTGGAGAACGATATTACATACCATAATCGACAACGGCTTTGTGCCATTGTGCTGGAGAGCCTGTCAGAATCTCGCGCAGATGGTCAGAGTTGCCCCCTGCTGCCTCAAGAGCCCAGGCGTGCATATATGTAGCCCATGGCAGGCGCGGGCGCCCACGGGAGCGTGAACTGTTCCATCGTCTTGGCTGGCAACTGCCTCTCTCGAACAGCATTGCTCTCGGCAGGCTTCCCGGGGAGTCCCTGGCCAATTTACCATATAACTGGAGCTGTCGACTCAATAATTCCGCTGATAAACGCTTGGCGTTGGCAGCTGCTCTGACTTCGAAGTTGCTGACGCGAGAGAAACATGCAGGTTGGATTTTGCATATCCTTCGGAGGCGTTTCGCTTGGAAGCTGTCGAGGCGTTCTGTCAGCTTTCAATGGCATACAATATTCCAAACCATATAGCAGCTTTGAAAATACACCAGCATCGAGAACATGGATTTTGTGTTGTCTGGTCATGTTGGCGTGGCTCCACGCAGCGCTGATATTTTCGAATGCTCCCTTTGCTTCGCCAAGCCTGCGCGTGAGTTCTGCTCGCGGTTTCCCGTTGACGTCCAAGAGCCCGCCAAGGTACACAGCTTCTTCTTTGCACGTGATCAGGTCCTCTTCTGGCCCAGCAACGTTTGCATTCGATCGCACTCGTAATAATAGAGTTTTGGATACGTTCAGCTCGAGACCAAAAGACTTGGCGATATCCACCAACACGTCCAAATGATGTTGAAGAACGTCCGGTTTCGTAGCCACCAGCATCGTGTCGTCTGCGTACAACACGTCGTCCGTGACCACGTACGGCTTGGAGTGGCTGTTTGGGTTGGTGTTGCGTCTTATGTCCACTGCCTCCATGATAACTGACATAACGATGACAAACAAGTATGGGGACAATGGGCAACCCTGAGCTATGCCCCGCCGCTTGAGGCCTTGGGAAAATGGTGTCTTCACCATCCTTGACGACAAACTCTCTCGCCGTGTAGACTGCCTGCACCATATCTACCATGGCCAGCGGCACTCGAAAATGCCGGAGTGCCAATATCAGGCCCTCTGGCTTGATTCTGTCAAATGCTTTGCTCCAATCTAGTAATAAGAGAAGTAGAGTGCCGTCTTTGTCCTCCAAAGTTGCGTCGATTAGCCGGCGAGCCAGAAAAAGTGCGTCAGAGGTGCCTCTTCCAGAACGGAACCCATATTGAGACTCGCGCAATGCTTCCTCCCTAAATAACCGACGCTAAATCGACGGTCATCGACGCT